TGTCTCAAAAAACCAAGAGAGAGAGAGAGAGAGAGAGAGAGAGAGAGAGAGAGAGAGAGAGAGAGAAAGAGAGATCTATAAAATAAAAAACACCCTTCTAACCTATAAGTCCCATTTGCCCAAGGATAGATAACTTCGTGGAAAGCTGGGGGCTGTTGTTCATGTGTTTTCAATTCTGTAAACAAGCATGATTGCACCAATTTCACAGGATGTGCTTGATCACATGTAGGTGGGAGGTACTTGGTCAGGAAGTATGTCAGGATATATGCTTGCCCCTGATTGGCTGAAGATAGAAAGTGCATAGCCGGGCTGGAGAGATGGCTCAGAGGTTAAGAGCACTGGCTGCTCTTCCAGAGGTCCTGAGTTCAATTCCTAGCAACTGAAGGGACCAGCTCCCCATTTCGGCAGCCATAACAGCAGAACATGTCCTTGTTTGACCTTGCCTTGGTCACTAACAGGTAAGATGCCTGCCTCGTGGCAAGGAACCAATCAGAAGTTAGCTGGTGGTGCTATGCTTTATGGCTCTGGGTGTGCTTTTCGGACAAATGCACAGCAATGACTCGAAGAGCATAGCAACCCCCCTGGGAGGGCCTAAGGGCCATAACAACCAATTGGCCAATCAATACAGGGCAAGCCCTCCAAGCCTGGAGGCACATCAATCCTGAGCCGGTGCGTACCCCTAGACTCTCCCCTTATGCTGCTCTATAAGATCTCTATGCAGTGGCTTCGAGGGGTCTTTCCTACCCATCCGCCATGGTGGAAGGATGAAAGACCGGAGCTAACATGGCATTAGCTCTTTAAACAACAATAAAACCTCATGCTGTTTGCATCAAGCTTTCGAATCCGCTTGGTGATTGGGGTGACCGCGGTCCTGGGCTGAGATCCTGGAGGCCTGAGCTTCTGGGGGTCTTACACAACCACATGGTGGCTCACAGCCATCTATAATGAGATCTGGTGCCCTCTTCTGGTGGGCAGGTATACCTACAGGCAGAACACTATACATAATAAATCTTAAAAACAAAACATGTTAAAAAAAAAAGTGCATAGCCTTGTGTAATTTGTGGCCATACTCTGGGGATCATGAATATGGACCTGGCTAATGTTCTGGCCAGTATTTAATAAGGCTTGCTTCAAATCTGACTCAAAAATTGTGATAGTGGTCTTATTCTCACCATGTGGGATTAATATCTCTCCCTATCTCTCCCCTCACTATTGTTTGTGGTACTGAGGAATGAGCCTAAGCTCTTGTGCAACCCCTCACTGGTGGATTTGAGGCAGGTGTTCTAGGGCCAAGCCCATGCCTCCAATATTCTTTTTTTTAAAACATCTTATTAATACAGAATTTATTTATTTGTCTTCTGTCAAACTCTGAGTCAAGCACTTTCCCCAGACTTCCTGGGGAGGTACAGGAAAAGGAACATACAGGGCAGACGGGACACAAAAGAACTATGGGAGATGGAAGTGGAGACAGCTGCTTCACATGGCAAAGAGGATGAGAAAGGGCACCATTAGGCAAAAGAGCCCCATGGCCTCTGAGAGGGCAAAGCCCAGAATCGCGTAGGAAAAGAGCTGTTGCTTCAGAGAAGGGTTTCTGGCATAACCAATGATGAGCCTCCCCAAAACACTCCCAATCCCAGCCCCAGAGCCAGCCACCCCAACTGTAGCAGCCCCAGCCCCAATGAACTTGGTGGCTGTGTTGATGTCTCTGGAAATGACGCTGGCTTGGAAGCTGCGGCTAGGGATGAGTGAGGTCGGAGGCCGAGGGGCTGCCACGCTGCTGAGGCCTCATCCATCCACGTCTGTTGTCGATTCAACTCCACTGCAGACAGGGGACGACTCAGCTGCTGAGAGGTGCTCCTGATCAAGGAGCGGGTAGACATGAACTTGGAGCAGGCATACATTTTCCGGGGTGAGGGGTCAAGGCAGGAGAGCTGCTCCCGGCATAGAGAAGACAGAGAGGGCTTCTTTTTTTTTTTTTAAGTTTTTTTTTTTTTTTTATGTATACAAAATTTTTCTTCCCTTTATATCCTCCCACCAGAAGAGGGCACCAGATCTCATTATAGATGGCTGTGAGCCACCGTGTGGTTGCTGGGAATTGAACTCAGGACCTCTGGAAGAGCAGTTGGTGCTCTTAACCTCTGAGCCATCTCTCCGTCCCCTTTAATTAATATTTTAATAGTTATCTATTTAATGTTATGTGTATGAGTGTTTGCTTGCATGTGTGTATGCACAATATGTACTAGGTTCCC